GAAAGAAAGAAAGAAAGAAAGAAAGAAAGAAAGAAAGAAAGAAAAGCACGGCAGCAGACAGAGGGCAGCTTCAATCCGTTGTTAATGGTGCTTGATTTTGGTGGTCTTGTTTTGCTCAGCAGTTTGCGCAAAGCTTTCAGAATCTTGTTGAACAAACACATTTGCACTGTAGGGGCTTTTCCCTGCCTGCATTGTGGATTGAGGTAGAATCACTGAAAGCAGGTTGCTAAGTGAGCACTGGGGACACGTGCATTTTGTTAACTAACTCAGCAGAATAAACGTGAAATCTGAACAGTCTAAAAGTAATTTGGGGAGCTGAAGACTTGTTCCACTTTACTTGATCGCCACTGGAACTGCCAATGTGTTCTGAGGTCATACACAGTTTGTAACCTGTGAAATTTAAGAATGCATGCTTTATATAACATGAGAACTCACAGTATCTTGGTCATCTTTTACAAATCTTGCAATGCCTGGAAATCAAACAATGGCACAGGTTTTGCAAGGGGAGATAGAAAGAAACAACTTTCTGGATGAGGAGGATGAGTAATGGTGAACGTGTAACTGCAGCATGGTTGAAGTATTCACAGTACTGTACAACAGAAAATCATCTCTTAATTTTCATCCTAATGAGATTAGGATGACACTATGTTTGTGAGTACAATTTACTTCACTTTGCTATTTTGGGGGCTGTGATAAATAGAGACTATGCACTAAAGAATATGCACTAAAATCAGTGGGATGCAAACTAGTCATGATTGTTTTCAGAGGATCTATTCTTTCCTCATTTGCACAAACTGCAGTAGAGACATGCTGTGGCAACCTCTTTTTTCTGCTGTGTCCTCAGGCCAGTGCCTTCATCTGAGTCCTCCACACCTGTACCTGTGGGAGTCTTACAATAGTTGTCCACAGTTGTACTCATGTTTTTCCTCTTATCCTGACACAGATTTACCATGGATACAACTTGATACACCTCACCATTCTGTCAGTGGAGCAGTAAGGTGACTACTAAGGAGTGGGTCAATCCTGCATCTACTGGCCACTTTAGAGAGCTAGTTTGGTCTAGTGGTGAAGCGGCTGGACTAGAAACCAGGAGACTGTGAGTTCCAGGCCTCCCTCAGGCATGAAAGCTGGCTGGGTGACTTTGGGCCAGTTACTCTCTCTCAGCCCAACTCACCTCACAGGGTTGTTGTCGAGGGGAAATAGGAGGCAGGAGGATTAGGTTTGTTCACTGGGTACAACCTCTCCATTCTGGGCTCAGGACACTGTTCTCCAGAGTTATTTTGCTTGCAGTTCTTTCCCTGTGCCTGCCACATCTCCTAGTTAAACACTGGTTAAGAGACATAAATCAGCCTGAAGAGCAGCTGACGATCGGAGGGCAGGGGCAGATCTTTCTCTGCTTCTTCACAGCATAACTCTCCTTGCGCCTGTCAGCTTATGCTTGGGCTTCTTTTGAGCCCTGGAATAGTGCTAAACCCATGTTGAACAGGGTGAATCCACCAATCCCTTTCAACATACTTGAAACATGAAGAAACCTTGTCCAAAATCAGCCAGTCTACCCAACCTGAAACACACCTTTTTCCCTGCTCCATTAAAAATGATTGATGGATGTTTTCCAACTGACTGGTGACATTTGGTAAGAGAGAGGAAAACAAAGCCAGGGGAATCCATTACTTCCTGTCCATAGCCTGCCTTGTACAACATAAATACGGACAGCATTATTTATTGGCACCATGATGCCACAATGCACTTTTCATCATTTTGATTTGTCCTGCTGCAACTGTCCCGACACAGGCATCTACAGGGGGAAGCAAGGAGGAGCAAGTGACAAAACATGCCTCATAACAATGTAACACAAAACTCAAGACTTACATATTTGTGTCAGGCATCATAATGCAATTATCTAAGAGTGAAATTTGTGTCATGATGTCAGATGTCATTGTTTTGATGTCATTTTGGCTTGCTGAGAATGCCCGTGCTCAGAAGGGAAGGCCTCTCTCTGTTCTTAGAAGAGGAAATCTCTGAATTAACTAAACATGGCTAATCTAGAGATTAACTAAGATTTGAAATCTTTAGTGGCCCGTCCATTTAGAATTAAAAAGCAATATCACAAAGGGCTAGGTTTCATCATATTTTGTTTCCTGAAAAGAATATATGTTTCCTGAAAGGGAAGCTATTGGAGAGGATTCTGGATGGAATTTTAAATTAATATGTAACCTTTCCCCAAATTACAATGAAGAAGCCTACTAGAAATTAAAACAGTATAGTAAAAGCAATAAGATGGATTGAAACAATTATTAAAACGTCATTTAAACACAACTCCTAACAATGTAAGTGCTAAATTAAAGAGATGGGTCTTAATTCTTTTCCAGAATGGTGAGAGGCTATGGATTACCCTTTGTTTTGAAAGAGGGTAGTAAAACACAATTGGTACCAACATGGAAAAATGTGGAGGCCTTGGGGTTCTCTGAGCTCAGAGAACCCCAAGGACTCCACAGTTCAACCCTGAGCTACATATATTCGCTTCTATGGAAAAATGTCTTTCCATGTGCCCAACCGGCAAGTCCTTCAGCAGAGATGTCTCAAAGAGCTCTTTTTGCACACCACCATCATCCTATCAAATTGATAACCATACTTGTTCCTTCCCTATATTGAAAATTGGCATCTTTGACAAATAGAGAAAACTTGGCATGTTCTGCCTATATGGCAGGTTCCCTTTTATCCTCTGGGGAAGAAAATCTTCTCTGCCATACTTCTGCTAATGATTATAAAAGCCAGCAGCCAACTTACATGTAATACATTTTCTTCCAGGTACTGCTTTCTACTCTAATGTAAGAAATGCTAAACTGGGAACATAAATGCTACTTTTTTGTGCCTAGCTCTAAGATTAGAGTGAAGTTTCTGTATCAGTTAAAAACTGTTTGAGAGCTATTTGTTTTTATCAAGAAATACGTAATAATACATAATACACAGAGCAAGTAGGTATATCTATTATGGAATTGCATGTTAATTGATGTTAACCCACATGCACTTCATTTGTCTGCCTGTTCTTAATAATGGATCACAGAAGTTTTCAATATTTCATGTATTTATTGGATATGCCACTGGATCAGATATACTCAATATTCAACATGCAGCACCCATAGTATTTTACAAAAATAGTAAATGAGCTCAGAAAAGAGCACAGTGAAAGAAAGTCACAGATGCATTGCAGACATGCATCTACGAAAGAGAAAAACATCAACTACCCAAGTGTTATATAAATATTAATATTATCCATTATTTACCAAATGTGTGCAGCTGAAATGAACAACAAAAGGACTCTCCTATGCAAAATAGCCAAGCACTTCATGCTTGGTATATTATTTGGAAAAGTTACTTCGGCCCTCATGCAAATCTATCACCTTTCCACTGTTCTTTAAAGCAGCCCAGCTAAATTTGCTGCTGCTTTAAGAGTTGCATTAGCTTTAAAGGAGTTAGATCCATAGAGAAGATCTATCTATGTGGTTGCCAGAAGTCAGTAACAACTGGATGGCACATAATCAACTAAAGATGCTGCTGCTTTAAGAGTTGCGTTAACTTTAATGAGTGACTTTCTTAGGGGAGAGGCATCATCTTTTCAAGCTCAGGTAGAAGCCTGAAGCAAGAACATCTCACTCAGAGAGAGGTGCTGGGCTTGTGCAAGATCCAAAGTAGATTTTCCCAAACATCTGCAAGCTGTGCACAGCCATATAAAATATAAAGTCTGTTGTGCACATTTTCTCACAGCAGATGGCACCATCTGCACAGATTAATGCCAGGTTTCCCAAAGGACATATGGTTTACAGATGATACAGAGACAGGAAGCCGAAATGACTCACAGAAAAATCAGAAAGGGGAAAAAAGAGAATCCAAAACCTTTCCTAGACCCAATACTTTTAACAGAATCCAACAAAATGGCTCAGAAGTGGACCTAACCTTTTGAGGTCCCCCAGAATTCTTCAACAGGTAAGACCACCAGGGAGTCATAGAGCAGTCCAAAGATTTGGGGTGGTATCACAGTCAGGAGACTTGCTGTTTAGATTCATTCTCAAAACAGAGATCACAGACTGAATGCATTAATAATTGCTGACAGGTGTTGCAAGTATCAGATTACACCTAGTAATCTGCAATTCAGAAATAGAGCTGACTTCTCAGTTCTTAAGACACAAATCTAGCAGAGTCACACATCTGTCTTCTGTTAAAACTGGAGCACACAGGATGTGGCCTAGCAGAAAACAAAAATAAAAACATGGCAGGCTCAATATTAGAAAAAACTTAATATATAAATATATTTATGAATAAAATATGAATTCATATAATATGGATATTTTGCCTGGTAACAAAAGAATTAAGCTAATC